TCATCCTCCCACCGACTGTTCATCCTCCCACCGACTGTTCATCCTCCCACCGACTGTTCATCCTCCCACCGACTGTTCATCCTCCCACCAACTGTTCATCCTCCCACCGACTGCTCATCCTCTCACCGACTGTTCATCCTCTCACCGACTTCAGGTCCTGCTGGTTCTGGACCCATCATATGGTCCAATTAACCAAACAATGTTACTTCAATTAAAAACAAGAAAATCTTGACTTCTATGAAAGAAAATCGATGTTCAAATGTTTTCTTTCAGACTCAGCTATATTTTTGTTTTCAAATATCTTTTTTCTTTGAAGTGAAAGTGTTTTATTTGAAATATATATATATATATATTTCATTAAAGCAACTTTTTTCTTCTTTTTTACTGAGTAATAAAGACACAGATCTGATCTGGTTCCTACATTCCTACTTGAAGGAGTTTCTATTTGTTCGAGGGAAGAGAAATAATGATTTATGTTCATGTTTTGATGGATTGCATTAAATATGCACCTGAAACAGAGGATGGAGTATTAGAGGAATGTTAGGGACAGATGGAGATAGGGAGGAACAATTGGTTATTAATAAAGCATTGCTTTGATTTTTACATAAAACAAAAAAAAATTGTAGTTGGAACTATAGAGCTACACACTCATGTACAGTAGGTGGCGCTATGCACCTATAAGCTGTTTGCAACCCGCCAATCTAACAAAGAAGAAGATCTGGTTCCAACATTACTGGGACCATAGATATCCATGGATATCTATGACTGGGACCAGGATCAGGTGGATCCTGTCTCCTCCGGACCAACAGGTGGCGGTGATGAGCTCCTCCTTCAACCGGAAGTTTTGACCGGAACCGCGCAGCGCCGCATGCAGAGACTAAATGGGTCCGAACCGGTTCTGGTGCAGCGGATGAAGAGCTGCTCTCAGGTCAGTCTGACTTTCAGGCTCTTCTCTCATCCAATCAGCTGCTTCCTACAGTTATGCTAGAAATTATCTTTGGATTCAGTGGCTGGAAGAAAGTGAAGTGTGATGAAGGTTGGACAACAGTTTGAAAAGGCAGAGATAGACAGAGGAGGTAAAATGGAGAAAAAAAGGAAATAAAGAGAAGAAATTAGATGAAGAAAGAGAAGTTTGAAGGAAGGTTGATAGAGAAGAAATAAAAATAATATTTGGATTCAGAGATGAAGATATTCAGTCATTTTAGACCCATTATTATTATTTCCAGAGAAATAAATAAAGTTTAACGATGATTTAGATCAATTAAAGATTAACATTATAGGAGGACAGGTTAACAAGATACAGACACTTTATAAAAACAAGAAGAAATTACAATAAAGTTTAAAATCAATCCACTGGACTTTGTTTCCAAGTTTAAAGACGTTTCTCTTCCATCCAGGAAGATTTTTCTATTGAAAATGTCAGAAATAGCGTTTAGTTCCAGGTTAATGTTTAGTGATGGTTAGTGGTGGTTAACGTTTCTGTCATTTTCCATGGAATAATGATGGTTAACGAGGCATCATGAAGCCACACTGTATTGATTCTGTCAACAGAATACTGACCCCTGCTGGACATTTAGAGACACTACAGGCAGCTGATTGGACAGAATAAACTGAATTAATTTGATGATCTATTACAATGATGTCATTTAAGTTATTGTAGGTTATATTGTATTATTTAATTTTTGTGTTTAAATAAAAAATATCTTTGATACTTTTAGATGCAGCAAATAAATAATCTAAACATATGTAAAAAAGTGAACATTTTGGGGAGAATGTGAATGAGTATGCTGGTAGACTAGGATTTTAAATCATATTTTTAAAACAATAAGTGCAGGAATAACAGTAAATAAATTAAGAGTAAATTTGAAATCAACTTTAATTCAGTTAAATTGATTGATAACTGAGAGGAAAAGGATGACACACCGAGAAATGAAAATAAAAAGGCAACGGCTGAAACGTTCCTGTTTCTTAAAGGCTCCAACATTCTGGATCATTTTAATGATAAACTGCAAAAGAGACGTTTTTGTTTAGCAGATGCATCATGTTGACAGAAACGTTTCTAAACCCAGATTAGTGAGTCAGTCAGTCAGAAAGCACTCCTGGATCGATCACATGACCTTCTGGAAACGACTCGCGCTCCGATGCAGCTCTAGCCAGACTTTCCTGGGTTCTTGCCAAGACTGGACTTGAGGAGAATGCAAGACCGGACTCCCAGCTGGTCTGCTCTGATTGGTTCCCAGCAGGTCTGCTCTGATTGGTTCCCATCAAGGTCTGCTCTGATTGGTTCCCAGCATCTATTTCCAGTTGTTTCTTTTAGCTAACTAAACATTTTATGTTCAGTTGTTTTTAGATGTTTGGTTCTTTGAATCTTTCTCGGTTCTGTTTTATTCTGTAGTTTAATTTGTTTTTGTTTTACTTTCTTTTTGTTTATTTATTTCCTTGGATGATTTTTTTTTCTGTTTTAGTGAAATAAAGATTTTCTCTTCTTCTGTCTTCAGGATGGAGTTTCAATACCTTCTTCATCACCTTCGTCTCTCCTCCTCCTCAGAGGAGGAGCCCCTCCCCTCCCACGCCCTCCCTCCAATCACAGAGCTCCTCTCTCTGCTGAGTAGGAAGCTGATTGGTTCAGCTGAGGCCTTCTGTGAATGCAGCTCACTGATTGGTCAGCTCCAGCATCTGTTCCAGGCTGGTGATCCTGATTGGCTGTTGACTCCAGCGGTAGACGCTGTGAATGGGTGGGCGGAGCTTCGGTCTGCGTACTGCTCTCTGATCAGCGCTCTGATTGGCTGTGCTGTGCTGCCGCTCTGTGAGGATGACTGCTCCGCTTTAGACGCCGCAGCCTATCAGAGCGTCCCAGAGCGAGCCGCAGCCGTATGCTCCGCCCTCACTGCGCTGCTAGGCAACTGGACCGAAGAGAGCGGGGCCAAAAGAGGTGAAACCGGGTTGACTGGGCTACTGCTGGCTGTGGCTCCGCCCATCTGCCTGTTCTCTGTCACTCATTTCCAGGTGAGTCTGGAGGCAGCCAGAGCAGCGCCATGAGGCGGACGCCATGCTGACGGTTTCAGATCAGCAGAACCACAACCTCTTCATCAGGAAGCAGACTTTAGCTGGATCTGACCGCTCCTTCTGCTGCAGGACCAGGCGTGGACCAGCGCCACCTCCAGGGCCGCCGCACGCCGTCTGCACCAGGCGCTGCTGAGGGCGGGCGGCTGGAGCGGCCCCGCCCACCTCCTGATGGGGGACCAGCGCACAGGGGAAGGCGGGATTCTGGATGGCGTCCTGCAGATCCTGCAGCCTCAGCTGACCCGGTGAGCCTTTGGTTCTGAGCCCGGTTCTGTCGCCATCGGTTCCTCTGACTTCCTGTTTCCGCTCAGGGACTCGTGGCGGCGGCGTGAAGACGTGAAGCTGTTGTTCTCATGGACTCTCCTGCAGGTCAGTCACAGCTATGCAGGCCTGCCTGTCGCCATGGTGACAGACCCTATCTGTCCTCAGCCAATCGGCTGCCTGACGCAGATGTCATCCACAGGTGACCCGCCCTTTCCTGGCCCCCTCCCTCCCACGCCTCCTCCCCCCCTCCCTTCTCCTGAATGATGACTACAGGCCGGAGAACTGCATGCTGGGAGTCCGCTGCCTGCATCACATCGTCCTCAACACGGTGAGAGAAACGTCCCACCCAAAGTGGGCGGAGCCAACTGTCTTCCATTATTGATGCAAGAAAAAGGAACTTTAAAAAACATTTTAATGTTTTAAGAGGAGCTTTGCTTTTTTTATTTTACACAAATGTATTTCACCTTTTTTTATATTTTATTTTAAATTTTCAAATGTCTTGAAGTTTTTAAAGTGAGTTTTTTAGTTGCATTTATTCAAATATTGTTTAACCATCCTCTCCACCTCCAGCCCATCCAAACGCTTTCGGCCAATAAAAATGTCGCTAACAGCCGACCAATAGAAACGCCTCTCTGTGGCTCAATGCAGAAAAGTGAAATAAAATAAAAGCTAGTATATTAGAGAGATATTATACATTCCCCTGTTGATTTCCTGCCTCTCCATAATAGAAATATTTTATCTTCTCATGTGTTTAATAATTTATATATAATCTCTTTCCAGTTCAACTGGATAAGGTGAAAATACGAAAGAAAATGTCAAATTATGCTCAATGCTTTTATAGCGTTTTTTCTAAAGTCGTACAGAAATCATATTTAAATCAAACCATTCTGACTAAAACATGTATATAAATGTCGTCTTTATCAGACCATATTGTCCCAAAAGTTAGAAACTTCTATTTGAAAAAATAAAAACCGTCTGTGTCTTCGGCAGGCGTAGAGCTAACAGAACTGGCAGCGTTGCGAGGCAAGGGCTCAAACATGTACGGCTGGAAGCCTTCTACACCAAACCAAGCTT